GCTGTATCTACTAAATATATTGCGTCACAAGCTTTGGTCATATTTTATGAACAGGTACTAGATTGGGAATTAGAAAATCCTCACATTGCATTAGGGAAAACGAAATATTTAGTTTTGACCGACAAAAAGAACAAAGTGGCTGCAATTTGTCGAGAACATTTTGTTATATTTTGAATTTTAGCCTGCCAGTACTCATAAATCTGGTGCTCAAATGTAAATCGCTATTCCAATTAGGTCGTAAACGTGCGAATAACGAAATCGCTTTGCGCGAGTCGTTGCAAAATCGTTCCGAGTGAATAACTTGATTTGTTATTGTTGTTACAGGCCGATGCGATCAGCGATGACAATTCATCCGCCAGAGGGCAGTAGACGCGCACGCATTTTTGCCGTGTCACGTGTACACACGTGTATTCGTTTCAGGCGCATGCATGATTTTGCTTTCCACATTAGTCATTCATGGCTAGAAGATTGTAATATCACCTATCACGTGACATTTGTTGCTGTAAATATAAATATATAATATGATAATAAATGAGGATACATAACAACATTCATATGAATTCACGCTGCTATCAATGACAACTGTCACACGTTACTGTCGATACCGCGTTACATTGACAATGATAAACGAGCAAGTTGCCTACAGCAGACAAGTACTCGCGTAGAATGCTACGTGATATTAGCAACCGCCGCTACGATTTAACGAGCGCTTGTCATGTCGATCACGTGACGTGCTCGTAAACAATAGTGACGTGGTCATTCTGCTGCCCGCCTCCCCGCATCCCTTCCTTCATCATTGCATCCCTGTATCCCCGCCTCCCTTCCTTCATCAGTGCATCCCTGTATCCCCGCATCCCTTCCTTCATCAGTGCATCCCTGTATCCCCGCATCCCTTCCTTCATCAGTGCATCCCTGTATCCCCGCATCCCTTCCTTCATCAGTGCATCCCTGTATCCCCGCCTCCCTTCCTTCATCAGTGCATCCCTGTATCCCCGCATCCC